GAGTTAAATAGGGAGATGATAAAGTGATTCAAGACAGGAATAGTTTCTGTATGTTTCTATTTAAAGTGGTTGTATCAGTTAAGAGAATTTGTCAAATTTAGGATCTGAGATTGGTTTGTGATTCTAAATTAAAATATGTAGTTGACTAGTTGCTATTTTCTTTTTCATGCTCTGTTTTATTTTAGTGTAGGAATTTGTTGAGATTTACTTTTTAGTGAAATATATGGCAAGTGTGACCAATTTTAGTAAATATTTCATTGTTGTTGTTACGTGCCATTGAATCAGTTCCAACTCATAGTGACCCAATATAGATTCCAAGACTGTAAATATTTTTTTTTGTTTTTTTTTTAAAGTGTTTATTGTGAACTGAGTGATAGTTTACATGGGAGAACATCGGCTTTACACCGTCATTTCATTGCAATGATTACAATTTCCTCCGTGCATCATTATTCAACAGTATTTGCTTCTATTCCATTTGGGAGTTTTTAGGGGATGGGTGTACACAACAACACTCAGGAATATATAATCATTTAAACAACCAAAGGGCACATTCTGCAAGCCTGCCTCCTGGCCAATGTCTTTCCCTCAGTCCCTCTCTTTCCATGAGTCCAGAGTCCTCAGCTGCTCCCTCTCTCCATGTCCTCATCTCTGCCTCCATCACTGGTGTCGCTGCTTCTCTGGATAGGATTCTACATTCCACTCATGCTCTTCTTCCTTGATGGTCCTAGGATCCTCTGTTTCTGGACTGTGAGATTAACTACTGCCCCATTTTTGTTACAAAACTTCTACCTCTACAGCTGTGATAAGACTGTAAATCTTTGAGGGAGCAGAAGGTCTCATCTTTCTCCCACAGAGCAGCTGGTGGGCTCGAACTGCCAACTATGTGTATTCTATTACTGGGTAAACTGTTCTGTGTGTATGAATAAGGTAACTGTTAATCACATTATTCAAATGTTATGTGCTGTGGTGATGTATCATGGAATTGACCCATGTAACAAAGTAGAACTGCTACTAGGGTTTTCTTGGCTAAAATCTTTTCTCTTTTTTGGTATGTGTGTGGCTTGGGTGAATGTCTGCAACACAAATTAGTTTTCCTTTTCCATTCAACAATTTATACATACTTTGTCTTTACAAGAGTTGCAATTCTCTCAGTGTAGCAGCACTCTTCCCACTTCCTTCCTGGGCTCCTTGCATCCATTCATCCTTTTTTCCTGCCCCTTCCTGTCCTCTGAGCTTTATTTTGGGGCCAGTCCTGCCCTTTTGGTTTCATGTGGTTGGCTGTTGTGAGGAGTATGGGCCTGTGTTATTGTTCACTTTAGAGAGCTGGGTTTTTTGACTGTAAGGTGACCTCCCGAGGTGGGTTAAGTTCCAGCTTTGGAAGGGTGTCTCAGGGCCAGTGTAGGAGTTCTATCAGTTTCTATCAGACCAGTTAAGTGGTCTTTATTATTTTGAATTTTGTTCGACACTTATCTCCCAATTCTGTTTAGGACCGTCTGTGGTCCCAATCAGGGAAGTCATTAAGGGGACACCATCTAGTTCTTCTGATTACTAATTGATTTTAGATTAGATATTTTTAGTTGATGCTGGCAAAGAATTTTTAAAGTACCATGAATTGCCAGAAGAACAAACAAATCTGTGTTGAAAGTACAGCCAGAATGTTCCTATGAATCCAGGATGGGAAGACTTCATCTCTCATACTTTGGACATGTTTTCAGGAGGGACCAGTTCCTGGAAAAGGACCTCATGCTTGGTAAAGTGGAGGGTCAGTGAAAATAAAGGAAGATTGCCAATGAGATGGATTTGCACTTGTGAGAAAGGCACAGGACCAGACAGTGTTTCCTTCTATTATGTATAGGGTCACTATAAGTTGGAATCGACTCAAAGGCATCTAATAGCCTTACATAAGTCCGATTTATTGAATGATCAAGACTCCATGTGAATGAACTCAATCTTCTGGCTGATATCACATGGTTACAAAGTCCAACAGCCTGTGAGAGCCCCTCTGCATTCCCCTGACATTGTCAGACTTCTTTTGCCTTAATTTCTCGCTTCAACATCTTAATCACTCTGAAGCCCCTTCTCCCAAGTGTGGACCTAATGGAAACAGTTCTTTTTGTAGGGTGGAGGTGGGGGTGGGGACACAAACCCACACAGACCTTTATTTTCTAGTGTAAAAGCAAATCCTTTTTAGCGAGTAGAATGAAAAGTTCCTAGGTTTTTACAATCTTGGAGTATTAGCAAATGTCTCCAGGGAAGAGGAGAAAGGCTTTGAGTTTTATTATCCTGAGGATATGTGAGCAAATGGCTCCAGCGCAATTCATGTCTGTAATTTCCAAGACATGTTTACCATTCAGTCATAAAGACCATGCCGCAAAGTGAACATCTTCATGGAGATTGTCAACAGGGGAGAGGCAGACTTTGGGATTACCACAGACTATTATAGTAGCAATTACTGTCATTGCCTATATGCTTTATTGCCCATGGGGTCTGTGTCTTATTTGTTGAACCCCTAACACCCAATGCCTAACACTCAAGCCCCTTGCCATGGAGTCAGTTCTGACTCAGAATGACGCAATAAGGACAGAGTAGAATTGCCCCACAGGGTTTCCAAGACTATAAATCCTCTAAAAGCAACCAGTCACATCTTTCTCCTGTGGAGCGGCTGGTAGGTTTGAACCACTGGTCTTTCAGTTAGCAACCAAGCACTTTAACCATCCTACCACCTGTGTACCTATATCTAGCATGTGGTTGCTGTTGTTATGTGCTGTCGAGTTGATTCCGACCCATAGCGACCCTGTATAGAGTTTCCAAGGAGCAGCTGCTGAGCTTGAACCACTGACCTTGCAGTTCAAACAACTTTGCAATTGGACACATTAGACCATAGCGCCACACCAGGACACATACTGCCTGACAAATGAATAGTGTGGATTTTTTTTTAAATTGATTTTATATGTTTAAGGGAAGAGGTACTCAGTAGAATTCTTTTTGTGATGACCCTTCATGTTTTAGTTCTCTACTAAAGCCACTTAAATTTCAGCTCTTGAACCTTCAAGAATACATATCTAGAAGGATGACTTTGAGCAAATTCAATTGTACACATGAAATCATTTGCTTCTATCTGGCTATAAGGTGGTTGTCCACAGAGGGGCAGTAAAGTGTAATGGTAAAAAATTTGGATCCTAACTCTAATCCCATTGCCTATTTTTGTTTATTTTCACATTTTAGAATATCATAAATATGGCACAATTTTTTTTTTCTATAGAGAACTTTTGGAGTCCCTGAAGAATGTGAAAAATTGGATAAATGACAGTTATTCCATTATTGACACAAAAACTCTAGTTTGCAATGTTCTATATCTAGGGTAGGAAAATGACATTTTATCTTGTAGAATTTGTTTTTAAAATATATTTATCATTTTTTCATGGTTTCTGAGTTTTGTGTCATATTCAAAAATCATTTTTTAAAAATTCTACCACATTTTCTTCTAGTACTTTTATTATTTTATTGTGCAGATTTAATCTTTTTATTTATCTGCAGTTTATTTTGGTATAAGGTGTGAAGTATGATTCTAATTTTGTTTTTGTTCCAGATGGCTCCCTAGTTGTTCCAAAACCATTCATTAAAATCATCATTTCCCCACTGATTTGAAATGCCACTTTCACCATACTCAGAATTTTGTTTGATTTGAAAGACTCATCTTTTTTGTTGTTGTTCTGATTTGAGTGGAAAGGTCTTCATGTGTAATTTTTAACTACCTCAAGGGTTTTTTGCTTTTTTTTTAAAAAGACATTCTTGAAGTTGTATATAATCATCTATGATACCCAAATAAGATTTTGTTCCTTACTTCATGAATTTGCCATTACCAGGCTCATTTTGGTGTCTTTCTTTAAATGTACTGCACACAACCTTCAAATATTATGAACATTTCTCTCTCCCAGCTGTCACTACACCAAACTACATATGTTATATTTCCCTAAATCATCTTGCTGTGCTCTTTGCAGCTCTTCTGTACACTGTTGATGTCTTCATCTAACAAACTGCTCAGAAGTTACTATAATTACTTTAATGAGGCTTCAGAATGAAAACCTATCATCACTACCTAGTTTGTCCCAAAAATGGCCATTAATTTCCATTTAACAAGAAGAAGACAGGCTATGTTTCTGGAAAACAACAGATTTTGAAAAGCTATGGCAGTTATTTATTGGCTGTTTAAACAATTCACCTGGGAAGAGGGGATGCCCCACAAAATGCCAACTACTACCTATGGTGGGATTATTTTGCTATTTATTTCAGCAAAATGATTCAGACTCTGAAGAAAAAGGGTAGGTCTTGAACCCAAAGAACTGTTTTCATAGATATTCATCCAGGATACAACTCAGCCTCCACCTCAACAGATGGTCTTTCAAATGTTTCACGACTGTCTTCAACAAACGGCTGCATTTGAGGGGAGGAGGAGCACGGCTGAAAGCAGACCTAACATTTCTGTTTAAAAGCTGGACCAAAATATGTTTGGCTTCTATGGTCTATTTAAAACTCGAGCTAAGATGAAGAAAAATTACTCTCCATCCTGAATGGACCTTTGATGTTTCAAATCACTGACAAGAATGTCAAAAGGTATTGGAATCAAGAAGAAGGGAGGGAGACTAGCAACACGGAGCTTTTGAGGGGCAGACTGTGAAGTTCATCTGAAACACTTGGAATGAAAAGAAAAGTCTTGCGTAAGGGGAAAGAGACCCTTTACCGTTCCACTTTCTCCCCCAAAAGTTCTGATGAAGATTATTAGCATTGGGCACAGCACTGCCCTCTCGTCCACTCAACATCCCTACTTCACTTCAAGGTTTTTCCTCAAATCTGTCACTTTCCAGCGGCCTCTCTAACTGGGAACAACCCCCACTACTTTAGGACGTCTTTCTCACAGCAGCCTGCCCTCACCTCAGCATCCCCTAATTTCTACACTTCTCTTCAATGACTCCACCTCAGACTCCTCTCCTTTATTTCAGCCTCTCCTCAGAATACTTCCTCTACCTCAGTGTCCCTGCCTCACCCCGGCGAGCCTCCCCGACTGCCCGAGCAGTTCATAGCTCCCCGCCCCCTCGGCACAAACCACGCCCCTAGTCATTCTCCCCGCCCCCGTCCCGCCCAATGCCCCCGCCCACTCCCGGCCCTCAGATCAGCGCCCAGGCTCTAGTCGTTTGGCGCCAAACCCTCAGATCAGCGACGCGCGAGTCTCTCTCCTCAGCTTCTGGGTCGGAGCCGGAATCCCGGGAGCTGAGAGCGAGAAAATCCGGACGCAGGACGAAAGGGATTCTACCTTGAAAACCTAGGGTGTGAGGGAGGTGTGTGGCAAAAGGGACACCGTGTGAAGAAACTGAGGGGAAACTCAAGGTTTTAAAGAAAGCACAGTCTGCTTTCTCATCCTTTTTCTTGGTAATAACTGGTCGTAGCTAGGGCTTGAGTTTGTGGCTTTGTGCATTCCACTTCCCAACCCCAGGGAAAAAAATCTCAGGCGATTTTCCTACATTCTTATAAAATTGAACCTAAGTCTTAAAGAGGTCTCCCCGTCTGAGGGAATTCGGTGTCAGGAAAACGGCCACAGGTTCCAGGTCTGACGTCGCCGGTGACATTGACGGTGACTTGGACCACGCTCCGCCATGATACCAGCCCTGTTTCCCTTCAACCGAGGTGGTCAGCCACGCTGACCAAGATGTCGGGGAGCTCATGTAGAGGGAACTGTGCAATTGTTACTTGAAAAACCGAGCAATCTGTTTGTTACATTAGGGAGAGAAGAAATGGATGGTTGTTGGTTTTTTAATTCGGTGAAGATAATGTGGAAATTGGGTATATGTAGCTGTATTCTAGAAGATTCCATTAAAGCTGTACACATTTGCCTCCTAAACCCTTGCTGTTTGAAGTCCTGGTGTAGCGCTGAAGGGTAAACACTTGACCTCAAGGTTGGCTTGAACCACAAAGTCGGTGGTTCAAACTCACCAGCCGACCTCGGGAAGCCCTACATGGGGTCTCTATGGGTCGGAACCGACTCCACAGCACTGAACAGCAACAACTTTGCTATTTACAAGTATTAGGTGGTAGGATCGTACTTTGACATTAGTAATTTGTTCCATTTCTGCCGAGTTCCAACCTCGGTTTTAAGTGAGGAGATTGAATAGGCCCCAAAAAAACTCTTGATGACTAAGCCCATATTTTATTGTAAAGAGCATAGTCATGCAGATTCCAGAGATTTCAAACAACTGCTACAGTGTTCAAAACGATTTTAACAACTTGATATAGTGTAGGTATCCATCATAGTTTTAATCTTAAAAAATCATGAAACTGGCAAATATTATGAATCAATGGGCATGTATCTAGTGTTTTATGAAACAAAAAGATAACATGTTACAAGAGAACCCATTCATTATTAGCAAGCAGGAAGACATTCATCAAATATGTAGTAAAATCTATTCATTCAGGATAGACTAAGTTCTAGAAGAATACATGGAAGAATGACATAAGGTCGAAATTGTTAAACAAATGTTAAATAACAGTATGCAATTTTAAATAACATTCTAAGACAACAATAAAGGTTCAGACAGTCATGATTAACTGTGCTATGCCAGTTGGTTCTGACTTAGTGACACTGTATAGGGTTTGCAAGGAGTGGCTGGTGGGCTTGAACTGCCCAGCTTGTGGTTAATGGTCCAGTGCTTATGCTATAGTGCCACACCAGGACTCCAACTGTGCTATAGAAATTGAGAAATATGAACAAAAGAGAACAGTGTTAGGGAAGGAGAGAAAAAAAAAAAGATTCACACACACAGAAAAAAGAAGTAACGCCACCTACTCAACAGAAAGCATACAGTCCTGCCCAGTCTTTCTAAACTAAATGTTCCTCTGTCTCCTTTTGATCCTAGTATCTTTGAAATGAAATCAAGGAAGTTTCCAGGCAAACAAACAAACAAATAAAATTGCTATATGATTTATAACCACCTCTTAAATAATGTCTTATTTTTCTAGAATTGTTTTTCTGCAGCTCACCTTTCAATATGAAGGAGGATCAAGTTGTGCTGGAAGAACCAGGATTCCAAGATGATGAAGTATGTTAGAATGTTGGATGATAAGCATTCCACAGAAATTAAGTTCTTTCTCGGTTAGCTACTATACTTAGAAACAGACTAAGAATAAGGCATAGTTCTAGAGAGGTGACATTAAAGCTATGTAACAATCGTGTTGAGGAGTGCTAAGATTAGCTGTTTAGCAACTGGCATGAAAATCATTTTAACAACTGAACAACTGGTCTGACTTTACTAGTTAGTATTTGTGCGTTGTTGTTGTTAGTTCCCATCGAGTTGCTTCTGACTCATGGTGACTCACGGGAGCAGAGTAAAAGTAGAGTTTTAGAGATTGTGACCTTTCAGATTGCCAGGTTTGTCTTCCAAGGCACTTCTGGGTGGACTAAAACCACCAACCTTCTGGCTAAGGGAATGGTACCAAATATCAGCCTGGTCCTCGAGAGTAGGGAGTTCAAGGGTCTAGTTGGGAAGAAAGTTGAAAAAACATGTTTAAAAATAGATCAAATGCTATTCCAGTGCTTTGAATACTGTCCTTAAAAATTTGGTAGTCATCATGACAAAGGTATAAGCTTCCCAGTACTTTCAATGTTGGAACTTCTAAGTATATAACAATCTAAAGAAGTGAAATTTTAGTCATTTTGGAGTGCCTTGTTTTATTGAAGTAACTTATTGAAAGGCATGAAATTGTTGTATACAAACAAATCAAAATTCTTCGTTTTTAAATCTCCTTTAGGAATCGTTGTTTCAGGACATTGACCTGTTACAAAAACATGGAATTGTAAGTCTTTTTTGTTTCTGTGTTAAGTTGTTCAACTCACTGTTTCTCAGGTTAAGCCTATTGACATTTTGGATTGGGTGGAGGGCTGTCTCGTGTGCTTAGCAGCATTCATGGCCTCTACCCACTCAATGCATGCTAGTAGAACCCCTACAGGTATGACAACTAAAAATATCTCCAGACATTGTCAAGTGCCCTTAGAGGGCACAATGGTCCCAGGTGAGAACCTCTGAACCCATTCTTCATGCATTTATCTATATCTGTCATCTTCATTAACAGAAAATTCAGTTCTATATGTAAGGTGACTAGAGTGAATGATGTTGGCAGAAATCCAGATTCTGAGTAACAAATGAGATTCATTTCGGTGGCAGTCAGTTGGTAGTAAAACTTCTCTGACATTATCTTTTGCAGCCCTCACATTTAAACTCTTTCAGTCGGTCTTAAAAAAATAAAAAAGGAACAAGAGAAAATCCTGGTCCCTTGCTGATGCAGAGGGAAAAAAAAAACAAAAAACATCTTTTAAAACTATTTTAAAAGAACATATTGGTAATGAAGTTCTGTAGAAGGAAAGAGCTGAACTGAGTGGGTGAATGTGTGATATGTTTGTTAGCTTTTCCACCAACACTTTTCTTTTGAATTCCTTGTTACATTGCCATGGTCTTACTAACATTCTTGGGAAATCAGGGCACAGCTAGAACATTTGGCAGCCTGCTGGGTATGTTCTACTCAGATATTTTCAGAACATTTGGCTACATGGTGGGTGGGTTCCACCTGGCTGCTTGTATATAATTGGCAACATGGTGGAAGGAGATGGACACAAAAGCACATGACTATGGGAGTCTTCAGGCTGGCATTTTACCAATCTGTGCCCATTCTTTTCCTTGCAGAACGCGGCTGACATTAAGAAATTGAAGTCAGTGGGAATCTGTACTGTCAAAGGGATACAAATGACCACAAGAAGGGCTCTATGCAATGTCAAAGGGCTTTCTGAAGCAAAAGTGGACAAAATTAAAGAAGCAGCCAACAAACTTATTGTGAGCAAAATCCCTTCTTTGCTGTTTTTACCTTAGGAAGGTCTTGTGAGACTTTAAAAATTTTCTCATTATGAACTATTGTGGGAATTCTGCATTTCTGTAGACCACAATATTAGATGCTTCGTGTTAACTTCTTATCACCTTCATTTCAAAGCAGTAGCAATTAACTTCTGAAAGATTGAAGGCAATTATTTTGTATTAAAGCTTCTCTTTTTGTGTCTATGTTTCTTTCTCACTGTCTGTTTGTCTTTCCTTTTAAATTTTTATTTATTAATTTTTTTAACCTTCTTTCTCCTTATATTAAATCTATGGCTGTTGCAAAGCACTCAGTACCAAAGAAGTTGCTCTTTTCTAGTAGAGGCCAATGGATAAGGGAGCCATGGATGATAATAAGCTTTACAGTGGTTGGTTCTACATGAGTGCAGTAGAGTTACTTAAGATTAAGAATAGTGTCATAGAAGCAGCTAAACCTGGCAGATGGCCGGTAAGACTTTGAGGGGCCCAGGCAGCTGAGTGGCTGCCAGGGAAAAGCAGAGGCCTTAGACCCAAACTTTTGTGTAGAGCTTGTCAGATGCCACTGGATCAGTCAGATATGGAAATAGGAATGTGAAGACAGGGAGCCACCAGGTCTGCTTCTTTGCAGAAGGGTGAGCCTTTCCATTTCTACATGTGCATGTCAGAGTCTCATTCCTAGCAAGTCCTCAAAGTCCTCCCTTTGTCAATAGCCATTTGGTTCCCTTCCCCAGAGGCAGTCAAGACAGGAGAGTGATGGAAGTAGTAAGTCACAAATTGAACAGGAGCCAACTCTGTAACCCCAAACCCAATTCAGTTGCTCTAGCTTCTGGGTACCCTCAGGCAGTGTGCCCACAGGGTCAGTTCCCTAACTGTCAGGGTATCTAAGGAAGCCCTTAGAGCAGCACTTTGCTGCTTTATAATTCCTAGGCGTTCATTTTTTCTTTGGTAAACGCAATCCCACTATCAAAGAAAAGAACCCCTCTCTTTCTAAAGCAGCCACTACTACACCCAGAGTCAAATCCTTTCTGAAGCTATTTATTCACAAAGAGAGAGAAAAAGATAGAGAAGTGAAGTTAATTTTGTAGTATATTGTTGTTGTTGTTAGGTGCCGTCAAGTCATAAGGTTATGCACAACAGAACAAAGCACTGCCCAGTCCTGTGCCCATCTCACAATTGCTGTTATGCTTGAGCCCACTGCTGCTGCCACCGTGCCAATCCATCTCATTAGGGGTCTCCCACTTTTTCGCTGACCCTCCACTTTACCAAGCATGATATCCTTCTCCAGAGCAGTCCTGATAATGTGTCTGAAGTCTTAGAGACAAAGTCTGGTCATCTTGGCTTCAAAAGAGCATTTTGGCTGTATTTCTTCCAACACAGATGTGTTGTATAGTGATTCTAAAACATTGATGTGTATTAGAATCACCCATGGAGACTAATAAGGAAAACAGAGGCTCAGAATCATTGAAGTATGATAGATCCTGGTTTCTATTCTCCCACATAAAGTTTTTTAAAAAGTTCAGGAACCACTGCCTATCATAATATAAAACCACAAAGATAGAAACACATTAGACCACATCTGGGCTCATTTTTAGTACTTTAACCCTGCATCATTTGTAGTTTATTACTTTAATAAATAAGCAGTAGACCTACCATATGAAAAAATACTGTTACAGGAATTTCTGGACTTTTTGCAATTTCTAGACCTTGGAAAAGTCATGCTGTTGAATGAAATTAACCATTTTGCTTTATTAATCAAAATCGTTCATATTTCATTAAATAAAAGGGAGCTTGAAAAAGTTTGCGGAAAAATTCCAATATCTTTTGACTCCATTTTCCCACTATTTGAAGCTCCCTTGTATGTCTTATTTAATCTTCACAGCAGATTTTATGAGACACATTACTTTTATCCCCATCTTACCAACAAGAAGAAGCTGAAGTATAGAAAGATTAAGAACTTTACTCCACATAATACAATAGTGCTGGGGACCTAGTTTGAACTTAGGTAGGGAGGTTCCAGAGTCTGTGTTCTTAATGATGATGTACTATCTTCAAAGACAAATGAACTCTAGGTTTTACCAAGTGAATAGTTTTTGGCAACATTTGAAATCAAAATCATCACCTTATACCTTTTCTGAATCATCCTTTTTGTGTGTCTGTAGGAACCAGGATTCTTGACTGCCTTTGAGTATAGTGAGAAGAGGAAGATGGTTTTCCACATCACCACTGGGAGCCAGGAATTTGAGTATGTATCTATTATTACTTATTATTACTTATTATTACTTATTGTTATTACTTAGCACAATCTTTAGCCTTCGTGGTGTAGTGGGTTACACGCTGGGCTGCTAGCCACAAGGTCAGCGGTTCGAGTCCTCAGGAGAAAGATGAGGCTTTCTGCTCCTGTAAAGATTTACAGCCTTGGAAACCCAATACAGAGTTGTTATGAGTAGGAACCGACTCGGCAGCACACAACTAACACCAACTACCACCACCACCATAATCTTTAGAACACTGTATTTCTTTTTCTCTACTCATTATTTCTCCTAAAAGTATTTCTTTTCAGGGAATTTTTCTTTTTCTTTTCCAAAAGGCAAATGGAAGCAAACAGAAATTCTAGATTATTTGTAGAAACAGGATTAAATTTCTTATGAGGAATTCAGACTCATGAGTGATATTACATTGTGAGAACTGCAATCAATGACACCAATCAAAATGTGTATGAATTGTTGAATGGAAAATCGATTTGCTCTTAAAACTTCACCCAATGTACAATAAAAACTTTAAAAAGAGAAGAAAGGAAATTCAGACCTTAAGTACAAGTAGTTTCAGAATCCACCAAAAACCCATTGCTGTCAAATTGATTCTGACTCATAGAGATACCCTATAGGACAGAGTATAACTGCCCTATAGGGTTCCCATAACTGTAAATCTCTATGGAAGCAGACTCCCATATCTTTTGTCCACAGAGCAGGCTGTTGGGTTTGGGACTCAACCTTTGTAGTAACAGCTTACTGCTCAACCACTGTGCACTAAGGACTCTTTGTTTCAGCATCAACATTTATTGCTTTATAAAGCATTTTTTAAAAATCTGCTTAATTTTTAATTTCCTTTCCTTCTCCAATGACAAATTTCATGTCATCTTTTGAGTTTACTTAAAAATCAATTGTTTGATTGGATGCTTGAGAAAAAATAACCCAATGGTTTTTCTCTTCAGCAGCAGCAGCAGCAGCGGCGGCAGGTTTAACTTCTCTTTTTAGTCACTGTCTTATGATTCCTGAATTCCGAATTATTGTCTTCCCAATGCAAGTTGACTAGAATAGGTTTTTGTTTTTGTTTTGCTTCTTACTAAATCTTACCAGGAGATTAGTATTTCATAAATTTGAGTATTATTCAAGAACAAGTTGAACAAAAGCAATATTTCCTGAAAGTATTCCTCAAAACACTGACCTCACAAATACTCCAGGAAAAAAGATTTTGTAGCTAAATATGTCTCTACTTGGATGTCTAGTAGGCAGTTCAGACTTCCCAGGTTCAAATCCAAACTTCTGCTCTCCCCTCCCCCACCCCCTATTGCCTTCTCCCAGTCTTTTTCATCTTGGTGGTGGTGGTGGTGGTGGTGGTTGTGTGCTGTGGAGTCAGTTCCGACTCATAGCAACCCTGTACGGGTATTCATCTTAGATCTGTCTTTTTCCTGATCCTCAGACCAAAAACCTTGACATCATTCCTGATTCCATTTTTTTTCTTTCCTACCTCAGTTCTAATCCATTAGCAAATCTGTCTGCTTTACCTTTAAAACACAGTAAACCATCCAGTTCCTTCAACAGATAAATTAATTGCAAAGGGGAAAAAGAGAGAGAGAGAGAAGGGGTCTTATCACCTAATCACAATATGTGAACTTTATTTGGATCTTGATTCAAACATGTTATAAAAAATATGCCATATATGAAAGATAGTTGGAAAATTGAACACTTAACTGTTGTGGTTAGGTGCTGTCGAGTTGGCTCTGACTCACAGTTCCTATGCACCACAAAAGGAAACACTGCTTGATCGTACAGCATCCTCACAATTACTATGTTTGAGCTTTTTGTTGCAGCCACCATGTCAGTCCATCTCACTGAGGGTCTTCCCAACAATAGATTACTAGATAGCTAGTATTATGGAATTACTGATTGAAAAGTGTGATCATAGTAATGTGGTTATGATAAAAAAAAGAGTCCTCATCTTTTGGAGATATGTACTGAAATACTTAGGATGAAATGATATGTTGCCTAGGATATGCTCAAAATAATATGGAAAGAGGGAAGTGGATGGAGGTTTAAATGAAAAAGGATTAGTTTTGATCTGATAGTTGATGATTGCTAAAACTGGATGATGTTATACATTTTTTGTTCACTTCTGTTATGTTGGAAATTTCCCGTAATAGGAAAAGTTAATATGCATAAATGTATATAAAGAAAGAATATAAATTTGACTATTTTTCACCACTTCCATTGTTACCTCCACAGTCTAAACCACTTATTAGTATCTATTCTGGATAGTTTTAAACGTCTAAGTAACCCCACTCCTTTAGATCTTACCACCTACTGTTTATTCCTCATGAAGCAGACAGAATGATCCTTAATAAAACACACCAGTTGACTCCCTATCCCACTCAGAGGAAAAGTCAACATTCCCTCTAATCTCTCATCTTATTCTTCTTTGCTATTCCTAGATCATGCAGCACTCCTGCCTCAGGGCCTTTGCTATTCCTAGAACATGCAGCACTCCTGCCTCAGGGCCTTTGCTATTCC